AAGGCATTCTATCAAATATAATCACACTTAAGCCTCAGAAGTAGCATAAGAAAGTATTGTTATGCCCATTAGCATTTTCAGGTTAAGCTCAAATGCAATAAGACTGAGGTCTACAGTAACTCAGAAAAGAAATCCATCTTGAGCTGACCGGGAAAGGCCAACTGTTCGACCATTCGCAATGTGACGTACACCGAAGCATGCGTCTTATGAGGCTGAGCTCATCTTTCCCCAAAATTCGCTAAAAGATTCTCTGAACGAAGTTATGGAGAGTTTTCTCCCCGCTTGTTTTCCCACGCGGTCGCATGGAAGCGTGGACGCGTCTTTACATAAATGGGCATAGGATAAGTTTATCTGGCAATAGAGCGCAACTGGTAAAGATGGGAGGGCCTGCGACCACCTTTTCGAAGGTTTAGATTCCCTGTGGCCTAGAAGAGTGAGTGGTGTGCTCGTTTCCCACCTAACACAAGTCACAAGGATTTTCTCAGTGAACTGTGGTATTCTTGTTCAGCACATGAAATTGCCCCAAGAATTAATTTTTAGCGAACTTTAAGATTTTGACCAATTTTCGTCAACGTGGAAGGATGGGTGGAATGGGTGAGCGGCAACAGAGGGGAGCTCAACTATTATCAAAGCTATCCTAACGATAAAATTTCCTCCCAGTGATCAGGAAAAAGATGATGCCAGCACGTGAGTCAGATACCGTTCTTTGTGAAAAGGCATGACTAAAGAGTTGAATCAGCTTGAAACCAGTGTTGGTGATAAGCTGGACCTTGTACCGGCTATTCAGACATGTCTAACCCGACTTACTTTTCCAAAGTTGAGTCAAAATCTCAATTTTGCTACAGTGCCGTCACTGGGGTTATTTCATCTCCTCAACACGAATCTGTTTTACGCGTAAATGTTTTACGTGTTGCTGGCGATTCGGCTTCAGCGCGTCTTTGAGAGAAAACAGAGGAAAAACTTCCATAAACCCATTCAGAGGATTAGCCAGCAAATCCCAAGTGCAGATTTGAGTTCAGCGCCTCAAAGGGCGTACAAAGATGTGCATTTCGCTAGGAATGGCCGGAGTGACCATTAATTCCCTGCTGAGCCGAAAGATATGTAATGCTACGACAGCAAAAGGTTGTTCCATTCAGAAAATGAACACATGAAAATAATTTTTACAAATTATATTATAAGTCTTCTACGTCTTCATAAGTCTTCATAAGTCCTCATCGAAAAAAAAAACATCAACATCACAAATTTTATTGGAAAACTTGCCTGATAGCTGGTGGGAACGCAGGTAATGTTTTGTAATTTTCCCGACTTCACAGCATTTTCCAAATATTCAACCAAATACCTGAACGTTTGAAGTGAACAGTAATGGAGTGATAAAAAGAGACTGAAAACGTGACATCTGCTAAATTTGAATTACTTGACAGTTGATCCGGAACCAACACCTAATCGGCAGCCGCTTGATATGTTCTTTTCTGCACATTCAAACGCAGCCTGGAAATAACTGAAATCAAATGTAATTCTCAGAAAAATCAAATGTTAAGATTCTACCGATAAATACAGAAAAATAAGGTGACATGAATCTTACCAATTTTTTAGCCTTGTCCTTGGGCGAAAGTTCTGTTGAGGAAACCATTCTGCGAATAGAAGAAGTTAAAAGTCGAATGTGAGCCACGTTGGCAGAACAGGGCTAAAAAACAGGGGTGGCAAAATAGAAGATTGAGCAGCTACATATTAGGTTGGCCCGAAAGTGCTGGTATTTTTTCTGACTCAAATTTTTATGTGAATATGAATGGTCTTGCCGATACATTACGTATAGACTGACAGACAATTTTCATGCTCTACAAGACAGACAGGGTGCCAGATTCATCTAATGATGGGTCAACCTTTGCTAAGTTTCAGGCCATTGAAATGGGAAGTCAAGAGGGCGGAAAAAACATTTTCGAGACCCCCTTCTTCTTCAGTTAGCGGAGGTTGAAGAAGAAGAAGAAGCTCGAGAAGCCTCAAAGAATAGAAACTCATTTGTGAAGAGCTTCGCCAAGAAGCAAGGCCCATCTAGATTACACAAAACTGGCTTGAACGAATACAGCAATCAATTTGGACCTCCCAGACATCCCCACACCTGCATTGCACCAGAAACCCACTGGAAATGAGCTCGATGAGCAGCAACTACACCGGGCTCATTCATGAAGACCTACCTCAAACGACGAAAAAATAACCAGAGACGACTGGACGGCATTCTCAAAGGAAGGTCAAAAAAAGGTCAAGACCATGGATCTCGAAGTGAAAAGCGAAAAAAGCAGAAGCATGGGTTGAACATGCAGTAGCTCTTCATCGAGTTCATTGGGTCGCCTGCTGCGATGCACGTTTGCGAGGTCGAAATTCCCATGTTTGAAGAGCTTCAATCAATTCAAAACCATGCTAACAGATTTCTTTTCCCATCTTTATGCTTCATTCCTTTTGAAGTTCATGCAGATTTAGCACCGAAATTAAAAGCAGAAAACTAAGGTGAAGAAAATGCCAATTTTTTTCGACTTGGCACTCGATTTTCATGACCTAGAAACTTGCGGTGATTCAACTAGCGAAAAGAACTGAACAAACCATCTCGTAGAGGGAGAAAGCCGTTGAAGAAACCATTTCATATTCCACACAAAAGTTTGGTATAGAAAAAACACTCTTACTTTTGGGCCAGCTTAATAGATATACAAACGAAATGGACCATCTGAAAACATACAAAAGCTTACTCGCAAAGAAGTCGTCACAAAAAATTGAGAACAGAACATCTCTGGCAAAGACTGGTGAGGTGGGAAGCTCTGGCTAAGAGCAGGTGGTGATACTGAGCAGAAGGATGCCCCGGCACGCAAAACCTTCAACACACCAGCTGTTCAGTGTGCTATTGAGGGTAACCCATTCAGACTTTTTACTGACAGAAGATCTACACGAATGAGAGACAATAGAAAGCTTTCAGAGCTGATTTCAGCAAAGTGCGCATCTTATCTCAATGGGATTTCCTTCCTCCTAATCCTCCTTCCCTCCGCCCCACCTCCCTCACCAACTCAACACTATACACGAGCAGTGGTAGATTATGGGAGGCTATTTGAGTGTTGACGACAGAAAAGAGCTCAAAAATCTACAGTCATGTGCGTCAACAACACGCGCAATTTCACAGACAACAGACAGCCGCGCTGCGGTTGAAAGTTGAACGGAAACGAACTCTGACCTCAAGCAAACAGAATACATCCATAGAGCAAAGTAACCTACACAATCAATTGGTACTGCCAGTGTTGAGCAGACCATGTCTTACACTTCGGTGGATAGGTCAAAGTTTAGGAACCTACAGCTTAACAAAACGTGGTTCCATAGAACGAAAAACAAGAAATAACAAAACCAGAAGAGCCCACAGGAGCAGGAAAACACGTTCGTATTCGATAGTGTCGCGGCTGAAATGACGACAGTTTTTCAGCGAACGAGCGGAGGAGTTGATCGATTCAATATTGAACGGAAAGTGGCAATAAGAGGGGAATCAACAAAGTCCACCCAAGAACCAAAACTATGGGTTGAGCAGCCGACGAAAGTAGCGGGGATAGAAGACGAGAAATGAGAATGATAGGAGCTAAATATACATGACTCATGTTATTGGAGCCTCGTGACAGTCCGGCGATGCATGCCATTAACGCGGCAAGCAACAAAGATCGTTGCCAAGGCTTGCAGGATACTATGCTGGCTGGCGCACAATGCAGGTGCATGACACCGGACCCTACGGAGGCTTATTACCGACAGGATATCATTCTACCTTCAACCCCTCCCTCTTTTTGATTGCTCGAGCTATTAAAAGACATCATCTTTGTGTTCAGCATAGCACAAAGCGTATTCGGTTTGTTGTTAATTTCTCCCGTTTCGGCTGCACAAAGTTCCCCTCTCTCCCTCCCCGCCCCCGTCTTATCAGCACCAATCAGTTGCTATCACTTTCCTGACCCACCAGTAATGTTCCTATATCACCACACTCTAGTTCGCTGGGGATAAAGGGGCGTGTCAAGCAGCATGAGTGTGCCACGGCTCCAAACCCGTCCTCTGCCAATTATTGAAGGGGATGGACAACCACTGGTAGAAAACGAGTTATACGACCGATACGATTTAGTCGTGCCACTTGCTCGCTTCAACAACTAGTGAAGAAACTTGTTTGACACCGCTCCAGACTCGCCCCGCCTGTTACCCCCCCCCCCTTCGTCCGCAGCGAACTAGACATTATACCAGTTATTAGAACTAACTTCCTACTGTGGCTAGAACGTGCTCTATGAATAAGTGACAACTGAGTTCTAGCGCCTCTTTGAGCGGAGTGTTATCAATTTGCGTTACCCACCACTTGTGTTCCCGTCACATCCCCTGTATCCCCTGTTGCAACCAACTTTTCACGGCCACTGAAAAGGGCACTATGAATTTGAAAAAAGAGTGTGACATTATACTTCGCGGATTATGTATAGAGGGTTCTTGGTGCTAAAATATCATTGTATTCACATGACAGTACTGTCTAAAATTGCGGACCGGCTTCCGTGAAGTCCAATCAAGCCTTCTACTCGAGGACAGGTTAATTGGCACTCCAAGGGCAAGAACACTTACTTATTCTCGGCTGGTCAACTCAGTGTATTGGCCGTATTCAATATGCCTTTTTGCCTTGTTTTTTGCCGTTTGCCTTCTTTTTTTTATAATCTGGGGAACTACAAAAAAATGCGAACTTTACAAAACTCCGTGTTGTTATCACAAGAATGCTGAGTTGTGGGCAAAAGTCGTGCCCCAGGCGGGAGTCGAACCCGCACCTCACGCTTTCCGGGCGAGTGCGCTATCCAAGTTAAACGTGTGAGTGCTGTAAGGCTACGGCATAAAAGCCGTTAAGCTGAGAGGGTAAAAGCGGCCCTGGTGGCGTAACGGATAGCGCACTCGCCCGGAAAGCGTGAGGTGCGGGTTCGACTCCCGCCTGGGGCCCGAAATTTTCCCCCAACCCACCAATCTTGTGATAAAAAGAA